CTCTAGTCTGAACTCTTCTTCTTCCTTCTTCTCCCATCAATTTAGGTAACTTCTTGGGTCTGAATTAAATTGAATTTTTATGTGTTGATCATCAAATCAATAGATTCGTAAACTTTATATTAAATTGATTTAAAATAGAGTAAAAAAACAGTATATTCATATTTGGGCAGTGGGTATGGCTTGATGGATCTAGGCAGTGCAGTCAGTTGCTATGGCGGATCTGAGTCGGGTGGGTTGCATCTTGGGTGGATGGAGGAGGGGAGAGAGAGAAAACGGTGGTGGTTGGCTGGGTTTTGTCGTGGGGAAGGAGCTGGTTGTGGTGAGTAGATTTGGGGTCGGTTAGGAGGGGCCTGGACAGAGCTCCGGGAAAATAGAGAGATAACTAGAGAGAGCGAAATCGTAATTGAGAAGAAGAAGAAGAGAGAAAGGAGAGAAGAGGAAGAAAGAAGGAAAAAAAACCAAGGAAGGAAGAAGAAGAGAGGATGGTGGTTGCTTTGATAAAAAAAAAGTGTAAATTAAAAAAAGAATGAAGAAACAAACAAACATTTTAATCGTGATGTCCTTTTTGGTCATTATACATACTAAAAACACTTCTAATAAAAATTTACCAAACACTTTGACTACTCACATCAATTTTTCACATACAATTTATGTAACATCCCATATCGACCAATGGAGAGGGGGTGATGTGTCTTATATGTACATATCCACCTTCATCTAGCACGAGGTATTTTGGGATATCACTGGCTTCGGAGTCATGGGAACTCCGAAGTTAAGCGAGTTGGGGCGAGAGCAATCTCAGGATAGGTGACCTACAAGGAAGTTGCCTGTGAGTTCTCAGAAACAAAACCGTGAGAGCAGAGAGAGGGGCCCAAAGCAGACAATATCGTGCTACGGCGAAGCCGATCCCAGAATGTGATAATTTGGTATCAGAGCCACTCTGCCTTGTGGTGCGAGTGTGCCGACAAGGACGTCGAGTCCCTAAAGGGGGGTGAATTATAACATACCACATCGACCAACGGAGAGGGGGGCTCAAATCGGACAATATCGTTCTACGGCGGAGCTGATCCCAAGATGTGACAATTTACCAAACGCCTAGCTATTTTTTTTCATAGTTGATTATTATTACAGCACAGTAGAAGTAGTTTTTTTTAAAGCACAACAATGCCAAACTAACCCTTAGACTCGATATAAAACTATTTTGGCTTAAAAGTTACAAAATTTCTTCTTTAGGCCTAAACGTTAGGCTTCCCATTGCTTAGCAAAACACACCAACGAAGAAGAGAGGAAAGAAAGGAAGAGAAGAAAGGAAGAGTGAGAGGAAAGAAGAGAAAGTGTGAAAGCACAGTGTTAGTGAGTTCTACCTGAGAGAATTCTGTCAGTGTAAACACCAGAATAGCAAATATAATTCTACTCCCAATATTCAGTAGTACTTTTCATATTCTGATTATGTTATTTTTATAACACGTTATCAGCATGATAGTCTCTCCTCTTTACTTCTAAATTTTCAAGCTCAGCACGATGTGGTTATTTCTCTGTTATATGTCTCCTATCACTTTACTACTACAACGACATGCAAACCTTCTTTTTTGTATTTTCACAATTTTTATGTTGTTTCATCCATGTTTGTTTAATTTATTTTTCGTACTATAATTTGGAATGGTGCAGTTTTATATCCCATCCTGTTATTTTATGATGGTGTAATTTCATTACCCATCACGTTGTAACACATATTATTGCAATAAAAATGATGGTGTGATCTTAAAACTCATCTTGTTATATCTTGAATAGTGGCGCAGTTATATTGCCCACAATATATAATATGTGATGGTTTTATCCCCGCATTTACTGTATGGTGTAGGTTTATTACCCATACAGGCAATATTTATTTAAAAATGTGGTGCGGGTTTATCATCCACACAACTGCCTTTACTTTTTATTTAAAAGTATGGAGTAGAATTAGTGCTCATACCAGCACGTTTACTTTATCGCACATTTACTTTATTATTTAAAGTATGGTGTGGAATTAATGTCCATACACGAAGCAATTTAATTTATGAATTTATTTTACTGCACATTTACATTTATTTAAAGTATGGTGCGGGATTATCGTCCATACCAATAATTTATACCAATTTATTTTATGAATTAATGGTGTGATATGATGAGTTTTACAACATACAGAGATCAGTATCAGAAGTTCCTTGATCCTCATCATACAACTGCATTAGGACCTGAAGATCCTTGATGATGATAATGATAATGATATGAGAGTTGGCAGTCTCTCTAGTACTATATTTGTAAACAAGAGATCGGACCTGAAGATCCTTGATCCTTAACATGTAAATAAGGACCTAGAGTTCCTTGACAATGTAACAGTACCATATCGGTTAATAGTGTCGTACACATGAATAGTAATTATATTGACAAATGTATTGTACGCATGAATAGACACGTATTCATGACATGATGAATAGTACAATATACATGAATAGTGACGTATACATAAATATTAACAATTTTGGGTAAATCATCACTATACAAAAGGGAACCTGTAGTTCCTTAAACAAATGGATGAGCAATTAAATAAGAAGCCAGAAGCTCCTCAAAATATGGACAATTATGTAAGGGCTTGAAGTCCCGAAATATGTACGGGAAATTATAAAAATTTCCATACCATGAAAATATGAGATTTTGGCTTAAAGTTCAAAATCTAACAATGTTGAGAACCTGAAGTTCCAACAGTTAAATGGACAACCTTGAGGTATTATTGCAAATTGTGCTACACCACATATTTCTTTGGCATAAGAAAATGATGAATTTAATAAAGTTCGATTATGTTATAATCGACACCTCAAGGAAGAAATATATTTTGTAAATTCCGATTGTTAAGAATACACCGTGAAATGGATAATATCATGATAAACGTCAAAGGATGAATTGAGTCTCCCCACATATTTTGTTATATTATATGATCTGGGCTAAAAGCACATGGATCCAAATATATGAGAGATCCCGAACATGAAGTTTTGGGTATATAGTAGTTAATGCTCTTCACTATTATATTGGAATATTATCATGGCTTTTGCTCAATTTATATTTCATGCCCATTTGAAAAGGCAAATAAATATTCAAGTCGTGTTTAACCCGGGCTAGAAATTCTGGACTCACATGCATTGAAATATGTAATTTGAGAGATTTGATGTGGTTATTTGAACCCATAAAGCACAAGGTTCTAAACCGTCATTTTGAAAAGACGTAAAAACCACAGGTGCATGTTTAAGAATTTACCCAATTATTATAACATGAAAGGAGCATACAATAGACAGATTCTTTTCACCTGCAAGGAAGGAGCATGCTCTGTAAAATCTATAAAATTCCATTATGTTCTGAAAGCCTCTGAAGGAAGAGGACGGTGCCTCTTAAGCTTAACCACTGTTTGGGCCGAAAATTTGGCACACCCTGTCCAAAAGATCAAAGCCCATGTTAATCCTGGGCAGCAGCCAGCATTCTTTGAAATTGGGCCAAAATCTTGAAAACCCAGCCCAAAATCAAGGAACCCATAAAATCCAAGAGGGCAAACCAAGACTGATCAGATTAGCAAGAAAAGATTGGGCTTCAAAAAAACCAGCTTTTTGAAGGAGCCCACCACTAACGCAGATCAGATTAAAAATATCACAGGATTAATTAAAGCTTATTGTTTAGGAGCCCACGTGACTACCAGAAATAGAAAAGTCAACAAACTCAACTGAGTTGATTGGGAGTTAATTAAAACAGGGCAATAACTGGCAAATTGGGAAGGGACATCTCTGGATAATCGGAAGATCAAAATCCTCTCTTACATGTATATATATATTTAGAGATATTTTCTCTATTCCAAATAGGGTGATTGTCCCAAGAGATAAGCATACCTTGTTATTTAAAGAAGAAGATAAGCAGAAGGGCAGAGAGTTGTTCAAACAGGAAATCAAGCTAACCATCACGGTTTGAGATCTCACAAGGGCAGTTGGGATTAGAAAGGAGTTAGGTTCTCTTTCAAAAACAGAGAAGTGACTATTGAGAGCTCGACTGCCAAAAAATTAGATAAAATTCCTTTTTCTTGTGTTTTAAAATTAAAAAGATCTTTCTTAGAAAATTGCCGCGCATTATTAAAAAATTACCTTGCTCCAAAAAACATTTTTTCTATAAGAGAGGGTGAACAGGTTATAAAAAAAAAGATCCAACACTCAATTCAACAACAAACAACTCAAAAATCAACCAAAAAGCCCATTTGAATTCCAAGTGAAACCAGCTTTAGATCAGAATTCCCAAGGTTCAGACTTAGAAAAAAGTCAATCAAAACGAGATTTCTCTCGTTACAAATTTGGTTCAGCAAAGAATCAAGACAGGTAGAGCTTGAGCTTTTCCCAAACATGAAAACCTCAACAAATTTCACAGTGCAGTCTCTAGCCCACTGAAGTCCTCGAGAACAGCCACTTATGCCCTTGTAGACTGAAGAAACCGCAGTTTTGCCCACTCAAAAGCCTCACAAAAGCTTGAAGTACATTAAAGCTCTGCCAGAATTAACCTTTGGTATCGATTTACACCTGAACCTTAGTAGTTGAAGTTGTCAATAGTCCAGTCCAGCCCAGGCCGGATCAGAGCCTCCTATCCAAACAGAAATGAGTTTCCAGCTGTCCTTTCATCTTTCTAGCTTGGATATTTATTTTTATAGTTCTGTAAAAGGCAGTTCTGCCCGAGACCGTTTAAATTCTATCAACCATTATGGCCAGAACAACCTCTTTATACTGAGATAAATTGTTAAAGTCCTCACCAGTCTGAGGCAAGAAAAGAACTTACTTGGGAGATATTCCTCACCCAAATTCACAATCGTTTGTTTGCATAAATCAGTAAGTTGGGGTGCAAGTTATCCATTCTAAACTAAGTCTGCTAGAATCTTCATTGCTAGCAGTGGCACGCTCGCACACCAAAGAAAGCTGACTTGTTGACCAGTCAATGGTTCACAAGGCAGTGGGGAACTTTGCCCTTCCACCACAGGAGTAAACGCAAAATGGGTGAACAACCACGAGCCTCTCATGGTCTCCCACAATCTTTTCATTGGAAATCTGCAGCATGTCAAGCCTTGTTCGCTTATTAATGGAGTATGAAATCACTAGTTTCAACAAGGCCTTGTTTTCCTCTTTAAGTTTCTCAACCGCTTGTTGAGACTCGTGAAGTATTCTCTGAAGAGACGAATTTTCAGTGTTCAGCTCATGAATCTCATTTGCTCTGGCACACAAACGATCAGCCATGTTAGAAACAGAAGTAGCACTCTGAATGCTAAAAGCCATTGAGTCGTCAATAGCCTCTTCGTCATACCTTCCTATTAACAGTATTTCATCCATAGGAGTAAGGAAATTCCTAACTACTATGACAGCAGTCGTATCGTTCATCATCACAGAATTACTAATCGCGAGATGACTATTTTGGGATACAAAGGATGGACGCCAGACTTTGGCGTCACAGGTTGTTTTGGGAGTAACATTTAAATCAAGATGCTTTGGGGGAGAAGAAGAGGAAGCCATTTCAAAAGGGTTTCGAGGAAAGCCTTAGAAAATATGAATTTTCAGAAAATGGAAGGAAGTTGACTTGAAACGCAATTACTCCAATCAAGTCTTGCAGAGGCAATATCTATAGACAAAAATGTGGCAACGTTTCCAGGATCCCAATATTTTCTCTGATCCCCATATTCACTTTTTCTTTTCCAGATTCCAAAACTTCACGTGGCCTCCATTAATGTTTGTCGGCACTTTAAGGGTTTCAAGGATTATTTTCGTCAAAGCCGATCTTACTTTGCGGATTTCATGGGGTTACTTTTTCAAAAGCATCTCAAGCACCTCACAATTTTCTGTAGTTAATTTGAGATTCACTGGATCAAACTGTTCCTCTAATTTTTTTATAAAAATGTTACTAATGAAATTTTCTTTGCAGAATACATCCAGTTTTCTCCAGCTTTCTCCATATCTAGTGATGCAATATCCACTTGTTTTTCCTATCAGTGAGCGCTCGACGTGCTTGAGAAGCGAGACTATCTCTGAGCATTCATTCAGGAAGCGAGACTATCCCTGATCACGTTTCAGCTAGATCATGAAACTGTAAGAATGACCACATGCTCTAATCTCCTGAAGTTTTCCTAGGCTAGGAGAGATGATAGTTTGTTGTCTGTTACCTCACTAGTTTCCTTCCCTGATTTCTTACCTACCTTGCAATCAATATCATAATTCTTTGTATCTTTTCTTTCTGTTAACAACTCTCTGTTTATAAGGGATTTTGTTTATTTAGAACAAACATCTGAAGAACAAATCCATGTAGTAAATCTAACATTTTTTTTTTTTTTTTTTTTTTTTTTTTTTTTTAAATTTTTTTACTTTCGCTCTTGCAGGATATAACTAGATCATCAAGGATTGCATTGTATTTGCCAAGCCGATACGAGCTTGAATGATATTTGAGCAAAGTTTCTCCCACCTAAGGATGTAAGCAATACTTGTGTTATTTCATACTTGTAATCTTATTTTGATATTTTGTACGACATCCTTAAAAGTAACTAAATGGGGAGATAAGGCCGTTCTAGAAGAATGCCATGCGAAGGACCATTCCAGAAGAATGACTTGCATTATAGATCGTTCCAGAATAACGACTTGTATTATGACCAATTCAGAAGAATAGCTTGTATCATTATGATATGTATTCATGAATTATTAATGCAAATTTCACAGATTGCAAGTTAAATACATTGATAATACATTGCATAGATTAAAGTCTCATAAGAACAGAACTTAGGTATAGTAGTGATCAATATGATGCACGCCTGTTGTGTAGCAAATGATATGGATTGAAGTCCCAGAAGGACAATCCATTAACATGTCAATATTAATACGATGCACGCCTAATGCGTAGCAAATTATATAGTTTAAAGTCCCAAAAGGATAATTAATTGACATGTAAGTATTAATCTATGGCATGCTTGTAGCATGACAGATATATCGGTTCTAAATGCTCCAACTCCCTGAATGGAGATTACCCACGCCCTACTATAAAATAACGCTCCATTGGAGGTTAAGATCCACATTCTCACATAATTCATCCTATAAAAGATGTCTGTCTGGAAAGAGATAATAAAAGCCCCTTGAGTGGCTTGGGTACCCAAAAGCAAAGAAATATTCACAATTGATGCATGCGCATGCACATGAGAATAGTGGGATCACGAATTGATGAATGATAATTTTTGGTTTTGGAGTAGCTACTCAAATTATCAATGGGCTGTGTTGATTGGAACCACGTTTTATTATTAAATGTCAACAATATCATTGGCCATAAATGGAAAGAGGCAATTCCATTACAGATGAGAATAAACGTGAAAGAACAAACAGATAGTATGAACCCCAAAGAGATGTTAACCCTGAAGGTTACGCATGAGTGTTGGAATAAAGAGGAATATACTCACTTTGTATGACACAATGTTTCTGGTAGAAACAAGAAATGTTGGTTTACAAATGCAATTGTGCCTTCTTATTGCATATTTACAGAGACTAACATGTTATCTTTAAGGGTTATTAAATGCACGGAGCATATCGCCATAAGCAATTCCCCAAAGGTGTATAAATAGCTGGGTTAAAGCTATATAATGTGTTATAAAGTGTGATCCCTTAAATCCCTGAAGGATTGAAATTGCATGAAGCAAGTCTCTGAAGGACATGTGCCTAAAGCACAAATTTTGTACTCAATACGAATATGTATAAATTGCCTCAGTGAGTACACTAATTATGATATGGTTGCAACACATTACAACTCCTGAAGAGTTGATATTTGATCAAAACTCCTGAATAATTAATACTTGGTCAAAACTCCTGAAGAGTTCAAGAAATATTTGTCTTGGCCTGAAGATCGAGCATTATGCCAACAAGATTCTTGCTTATACTACGAAAGTATTAAAACATTTTTATGTGGATTATCCGTTAGGCACTTAAATGATTTTTCGAAAGTATACTGGACTGGAAATTATATTTTCCAAATAGAGGTAAGCTCCATCACCATCACTTTGGAATGATGTGAGACATATTTGATGCTATCTCCGCATAAAACCATATACGGGTATATTCTTTTCAAGTAAACTTATAAATAGCCCGGGTTTTGTTTGATTCACAGACTTTGGAAATTTTTTATGATTTACATAGAGATAGCTCACTGGAAATATATTTGCTTACTCAACTACATGAATTGTTGATGGCTACATCATTCACTAAGTCCGAAAGATCTTCCCTCTAGAAAGATAGCCATGAAGATATCAGAAGGAGATATTCTTCAAGGGGAGCATCCAACAATATTACAATATTGACTCACAGAAGCAATGTCAACTATGACATTCAGAAAGATGATCAACAATATGACTTAAAAGATATTTTGCCAAACATCAGGGGGAGCGTGCTGTCAATAAAGATCTTCACAGACTGTGCTATTTTTCCTTCGTCCAGGTTTTTATCCCACTGGGTTTTTCCTGACAAAGTTTTAACGAGGCAGTATTGCATGTCAATATATACACAGAATTTTATGTTACATATGGTTATGTACTCTTTTTCACTTCAACCAGTTTTTTGTCCCACTGGGTTTTACTGGCAAAGTTTTTAACGAGGCATATTCCGTACATTGTGGTCTTCAAGGAGGAGTGTTGTAAAGAAATTGGTGGAGCCCACATAAAGAAAATAAGGAAATAATATTCAAAAAGCTTAATGAGTTGGAGCTTACTGATGATGTTGGAAGCCATCCAATTTGCCTATAAATAGGCTTCCCATTGCTTAGCAAAACACACCAACAGAGAAAAGAGGAAAGAAAGGAAGAGAAGAAAGGAAGAGTGAGAGGAAAGAAGAGAGAGTGAAATCTAAGTGTTAGTGAGTTCTATCTAAGAGAATTCTATTAGTATAAACACTAGAAGAACAAATATAATTCTACTCACCGGCGGACCCAATCAAAGACAACTGTGGGCAGCTGCCCACACTTACAAAAAAACCTTCAGCCGTATAGTCCCACTTAAATTTACAATTTTTAATTATTTTAAAGTCATTTCCAAGTAAAGCCTCCACATAGCCCATTCAATACACACTTAAAGTCTAAAACTTATATTAAAAAAGAAAAACCCTAAACCCTATGTTCACAAAGAAGGATAGAGATCTCCCCAAGTTCACTCATTCTGTAATTTTATGGAGAACTCAGCCGCCAAACTCGTTATTTGACAAAAGTCTGCAGCCCAACAAATCAAACTCGCTACTTTAATTGTTTTTACAACATTTTCAAAATATGAAAAGTCGTCGAGAATAATTGTAAATTTACTTATTAAACAATGCTATTAATATTCAAAGTTTGAAATAATTTTTGTTTGATTATATAATGGTTAAATTTTTTTAAGGCCCCAAATAAACAAAAGTCTGGGTCCGCCACTGATTCTACTCCCAATATTCAGTGATACTTTACATACTATGATTATTTTATTTTTATAACATCATAATCATTTTTTAATTCTGAATACATGCCTGACCATTTTGAATATTTCTTTTTGGTCTGAATATTAAAGATAGGCATGCCTGGCCCCAAACCCTAATATTAAATATCCTTCTTTGAAGTACCATGCCATACACTTGCCTGGACCCTGGAGAGTGACACTGTCCCTAGCGACAAAAACAGGAGACCCATGGCAATGCTCATGAAAACTAATTAAAAGGCAGATCACACAAAGCCAAAACACAAAAATCTACGCATGAGTCAGCTCATCAGCCCCTTCATCCTAAAACAAAAAAAGTAATTAAAGCAACTACACAACAAAAGCAGAGACCCCCATAAAGCCGGTCACATCAAAAAAGTCAATACACATATCGAAACCCATCCCCACATAAGCCTAAAAAATCTCATCATCTATATTATTATTGTTATTGCCATCTCCATGCATCAGTAACCTGTTTTCTTCATCATTTTGATGGCCTTTTTCTTTCACCCCATTGCAAACCCCCATTTCCAAGCCTGTGAGCATCTTGGCCTTCAAAGCCTCAGCCTCCCAATCAGTCTTGACCAGCACAACATAGAGAATAGACACAGCACAAGCCACCTGAGCAGATAAAAGGCCAAACCAAAGCCCACCAAACCCTACCTTGAGCCAGAAGGCTAGCCCGACCGCGACAGGAGTGCCCACAAAATAGAAAGAGACCAAATTGATACGGGCACCCACGGCCGGGCGCGCTGTGGCACGTAAGATGCCACAGCCAGTAGTTTGAGGGCAGTTGCCTAACTCACAAACCCCCATAATTGGCATAACTGATGCAACCAAGATTTTGACCAGCTCGTCCCTGGTGAACAGGCCAGCCCACCTCTCTCTAAGAATCACCGTCCATGTCACATTGACGATGCCAATCACAAATGCACATCCCAATGCTACCATGGCTGCTAGCTTGGCCCTGTATGGGTTGCCTGAACCAAGCTCATTCCCAACCTGCAAAATATATGTGAACATTGAAACATTGTATTAGTGAAGCAAATACATAACAAGAAGAATTTTGCCAGCTAGTTTGTCAATGTGACTCGACTCTTGACTATTGATGCAAGCGTAAACTTCACTGCACCAGTAATTGAGAGTCATGCACTCGTCAATGTGTGTGCGATTTCCAACTATTGATGCAAGTGTAAACTTCACTGCATCAATAACTGAAAGTCGTGCACTTGTCAATGTGTGTGCGACTTTCAACTGTTGATGCAAGTATAGACTTCACTGTATCAATAACTGAGAGTTATCCACACGCGCATGCGCACGTGCGCTACTGCTCGAAGCACTCCCTGACAAGAATGTCATTGTCTCCTCAACGAAATTGTGATCATTAATTACCACTAAAATCTGCATTTTTATATTTGATGGGTCCCAGAATCCCAGATATTGTACTGGGCCTATGAATAGTAAACATCTGTCTGAGAAATGGGCTGTTGGCTGGTTCACTTTCTTTTGTTGGTTGAATGGATTCGTCATAGAAGTGGTGGGAGCTTTATGTTAAAGGAGCAATTGAGAGTAAATTTAACAGGTACTTGCGTGTCCTATACTAATTTTGTCCTGTCACATTACAAGTGTGACCTATCTGGTTGCATATAAGTGATGCAATCCCTCAAACAGATTGAAAGAATCTCCCCCATAAAATTTTTATTAATTTCCACTTTGAGAGTTGGAATATATGCATTATTTTCTACTTTTCAATTTTTTGTTTTGTTTTATTTATTTCTTGGTTTAGATGCAGACTTGCTAATTAAAAAAACACTGCAACTCGAAAACCAAAGAATTTATTATACTTTTGTCTTGGCAATGTTGCTATACAAATACACTCATTCAATGGTGTTTATAGGGGGACCATTCAGCATGTTGACCCATCCAAAAAGATTTCATCACAAATGAGTTGCCACTAACTTCAGACAGAGTCTATACCTAATAAATCATGTATAAAATAGCAGCTATAGCACTAGAATCTTGATTCAAACTTGTGTTTTATGATATTCAACTTGCAATATTTTTCAACATTTTAAAGAAAAAAAATTCGTTAAATTAAGAGTTAGTTGCTAATAGCATAAGTCTTACGATAAATAATTAATTCCAAACAAAAAGATTTATGTTTTCCTTTTTAGGCTCCTTATCAAGGAGCCCAAAAAGAGCACTAACATATGATTGTGTAACGGGCAAAGAAAATGAGCCCCATAAATAATCATAGGCTAAATTATAGCAATGATCTCATACCACGAGTTAAATTTTCGTTTTTGAACAACAAAAATAGTTGTTATTGTCCTCAAATTAAGTTATTCGTTACACTAGTGACCTTTCCGTCAATTCTGTCAATTTTTTCAAGTAATTTGAGGACGAACTCAACTATTTTTGGAGTTTAAGCACGAAAGTGTAGTTCGTAGTTGAAGGATGATTGCTCCAAATTAGCCATAGTAATAATAAGAGAGAGAGAGAGAGAGAGAGAGAGAGAGAGAGAGAGAGAATAATTATTAGGGAAGAGAACTTACCCTGGCAGAAACACAGCCAGCAAGGGCCATGGGGACAGTGTACATCATGCTAGTGGTCTGAATAAGAATCCCAGTGGCGGCCACAGCGACAGTAGGATTTGGCAAATAACCAGCCATCACAATCACAATCTCATACCACCACCACTCCAAACATATGCCCAAGCAGCTTGGCACTGCCAACTTCAACAGTGGTCCAATCCCACCACACAAATCTCCAATCCCAGCCATCCATCTCATCTCCCCCTGCCTCCATCCCCACCACACGTACGCTGCCATCAGCACCACCATGTTCAGGTTCGTCAGTACCGACGCCATGGCCACTCCTGGCACTCCAAGGCCCATCACCTCCACCAAAACCCAGTTCAATGGCACGTGGAAGGCCACAGCTATCATTGAACAGTACATCATTGGCTTGGTCACTTTCTGTGACCTCAAAAAAACCCTCAAAGGCTGCAAAACTGTGTTTGTTAACAAGTCTGGGATTGAATACAAACAGTAAGTGGCAGCCATTGATGTGATTGCTTTGTCTTGTCCCATGAACACCATGATTGTTTCAAGATTGAGCCATAAGAGGCTGATGGGTATTATTGCCAAGAGAAGGATCAGGACCATTCTTTGAAGGGACAGAGTGAGAAGCTCCCAATTTTTGTTCCCATAGGCTTGGCTACAAACAGGTTCTAGGCCTGAGGCAAGACCCACCAACACAGAGTAGCCAGTGATGTTGGTGAAGCCTATGGAGAGGGCACCTCCTGCTAGCTCTAGGCTTCCAAGCCTGCCTAGAAATAGGACTGAAACCACAGCTCGGACAAAAACCAAACAGTTCATGGCTGTAATGGGAAAGGCCATGCCCCATAGTTCTCTTAGTTCTTCCAATACCTGTAAAGTTCAAATTAATGTTTTTTTCAAGCAAAAGAGAGCACTAGAGGCAGCAAACACAGAGACATGATATGGATAAACAGATGTGAAAAATGAAACTTCAGGATATGGGTTGATTAAATTAGTACCTGGAAAGCAGAAGGGAATTTGTGGGAACAAATATCAGGGTCTTTATCTGCCATTTTAGTTTTCTTTGATGCCCAATAAAATGGTCTGAAGGAGATATTGGTGACTCCTCCTACCTAATATATATATGGCAAGTGATCTTCAAAAAGAAAAAAGTTGAATCAACCAGTTGGAACATGGCATGAAACTCACCCCAACCCAACAAAAAAGAAATGGAACCCAACAAAAATGAGGCCTTTCTTTAGCTTAGAGTGATCAAAAGCAAGGCCCCCAAAATTTGAAGTGGTACCCTTTACTTGGTGAATCAATCAGAGCAAGAATCAGATGAGAAACCAAAAGATTGTGGAGAAAAAGAGAACTCACTTTTTGTTAGCTTCTTCTATCTCTTTCCAGCCCAAAGAGCAAGGCAAGGACTGAGTAGCAGAAAAGGTAAAGGCTTAAAATGCAGAGGCAACAATCAAATAATGAGAGAAGCAGAAAAGGCAAGAGGACAGTTATTAAGGAGTAAACTCAGAAGTCAATAGAAAGGAAGCATAGTACAAAGTTGGGGTTGCTTTTTTTTCTTTTTTTTTGCTTGATATGAAATTTCAGTGAGTGAGGAAAAGCAAAACACAGCTCAGGGCTATTGGCGGCTATGTACAGATATATATAGGCCTGGGTGGGTTTAAGGCAGAGGAGGAGAGAGAAACATAACGCTTTCTTTGCAAGGGAGAAAAAGCGATACGAGAACAGAGTGATGAGAGTGAGAGGCGGAGCCAGAGAGGCATTTTCGTAATAATTATTTTTTTCCAGAAAAGAATCCCTCGTTAATGGCAGAGAATTGAAGAGGAGAGAGACAGATACAGAGAGGGAAAACGTTCGTGGAGAGATAAATGTTTGGCTCAACCCTCTTCTAATTTATTTTGTTTTTTTTGTTTTTTTTGCTCTTATTTACTTACTTTGATAAAAATTATGTACAGGTTTGTGGTTCAGTTGATTAATAGCATTTATTCTTGCATTCAAGATCTTTTTAGGTTCGATTCTCCCTTCTCCCAATATCATTTGTATCCAAAGAACAAAATCAATGCAAGTATGTTTCCGGCAGTCTATTCTATACATGTATTCATCACAAGAATACAATATTGAATATTCAACTACGCCATTCTTCAGCCAAAACCAAAATAATACTTTCAACATTATATACTATTTTCAATTTTATACAAACTCAAGTAATAGACGAGATACTTGTTTTCAATCACCATTCCATGCAACATGGCCCACTAATAACCATGAGTTCAATTGAAATCTTTCCATATCTTAATGAATTTCTCATTCCGCTTTTATCATGCATTTTGAAAGAGGGAAATAAGTTTGAAATTTGATAAAAGTTCGAATCTCTAAATTGATATACACCAATTTTCCTTGTTTGGATTCTTCACAAAAATAAAATTAGGGTAATTTTTATTTTACTAATACGAAGTTTTCTAAGTTTAGCCTTTGATACATGAAGTTTTTTTCGTCTCAATCGCATATATAACGTTTAATTCCGTACCAATTTAATACATCCGTTAGTTAATTTGTCAAGATCTAAGTTAAAAGATTATGTGGACCCACTAGCTTCGCATGACATGTCCCAAGTGAGCCCTAGACTAAATGAAATCCCACCAAAAAAAAAAAAAAAAAAAAAAAAAAAAAAAAGGGCTACACAATGTCCTCAAATGAGGACCACATGTGGCCCTTTGGCCAACCCGAACTATGGGGCCCAACTGTTTTTTTTTTTCTGTATCAAATAGGCCATTTGTAGCCATTGATTAAAAAACCATTGCAAATCAAGGGTCTTGAGCAACCCAGCAGTTTGCTGACATCAGCTAGATTTTTTTTTTTAAAATAAAAAAAATAAGAATAAATGATTCCTTTTTAAAAAAAATTCTAATTTTTTTTTGTATAAATACATACCTCATTCTTACATTATTTCTCACAACATATTCATCATTTAACATATTATCCTTCCTCAATTTCATCCTTTTACATTATTTCTCACATTCTCTTCATTCTTTTACAAACTATCTTCATCTTTTTTCATTTAAAACAAATCATTTTCTCCGATTGTTACGAAAAATAGCCAGTACTTCGAAGAAAAGCGGAAATTGGACTCGAAGGGAAGGTGAAACTCTTTGCAAGGCTTACTTAAAAGTCTTCGAAGATAGTCTCAAGGGTACAAGCCAAACTTCTAGCAATGTTTGGATGCGTGTTTCTCAAAAATACTACGAGCTTTACGAAGGCATCACTCCGATGCTGAGAAACCTTGAAAGTTGTAGTGATTCGGTGGAAGAAGCACATATTTCCGAGCATGAACAAATGACATCAAGCCTTGAAAAGAGCCAAGAGGAGACATCTAAGCGGAGCCAATGTCTTCGACGAAGTAAGTGTTTTTACTAGTTTCTTTAAGTATTATTTTTAACTACATACTTTAAATCTATTGCTGTTTTTAAATGAATTTTAAAGTTACTTTATATATATATATAAACAGTAGTTTAATTTAATTAATCAATTAACATAATATACTAAAAATTATTAAAATACTAAATTTAGCCCTTTCCTGCTAGAGATAGTTAAAATGTATCCTGACACTATTTCTTATAAATGTAGCCCAAGACTAAATATAGCCCTCCCCACCTAAAGACGTCCTTAGGGCATCTCCAAGTGAGGGCTATGTCCTCAAATATAGCCCAAAATTTTCAAAACTCATCTCCAAGAGTGGGTTACACAAAGGGCTACCCAAAAAAAGGGGAGGGCTACACAAAGGGCCAATTCCTAAAAATCAGGCCACATGTGGCCCTTTGGCCAGGCCGTGCTAAATAATTGGATGAGCCCAGTTGATGTCACCTAGTCATTAGTTGACGTTAGCTAGCTATTTATTATTATTATAATTTTTTTAAATCCCAAAAAAATGATTCTTAAAAAAATTTCTAAAAAATTCCTAAATTTTTGTTGTATAAATATCTACCTCATTCTTACATAGTTTCTCATATCTTCCTCATTTTACATATTATCCTTCCTCAATTTCATAATTTTATATCATTTCTCACATTCTTTTACAAACTATCCTTCATTTTTTTATATCATTTTTTCCATTTAAATTAATTTTTAAGTTGTTTTTTAAAACAAGACAAAGACTTGAACATGACAATGTATTGTCAATTATTATTAGTTGCAAACGTCAAAGTTGTTTTTAAAGCAAGAAGAAAACTTGAACATCATAATGTATTGTCAATTATTATTAATTGCAAACATAAACGACTAGCTAATGTCAAAAATCCTATGCCAAAATATTTTTCTCTTCTAAAATGTATTTTTAATAGGATATAAATAGTAGTGTAATTAAATTAACTAATAAATTTACATAATATACTAAAAACTATTAAAATATTAAATTTAGCCCTTGGTTAATGGAGATGGTTAAAATGTAGCATGACATTATTCCTTATAAAATTATTTATTAGAGGGCTAAATATAGCCCTCCCCACCTGGAGATGGCCTAAGTGGCCACTTTTCATTTAGTCTAGGGCCCACTTGGGAAAGTCATGCGAAGCTGATGGGTCCATGTCAGGTTTTAACGGAAGTCCTAACAGATAACGATTGTATTAAATGTTGGTTTTTTTTTTTGTTGTTGTTGAGATATTTAGTTATATACCCATTCTTAGCACAAAAACTATAAATAAATCATATACTATTTAATTTTTACAAACAAACCCAAAAAAAAACCAAAAGATGACAGTTGACTCTATTGAATTTAATTTTGATTATTAAATTACTTGATGCCCTATTGAGTGTTTTGGGCTTTTTTATGAGGTTTTGGGGTTTGGTTTGTTTTAAGAAATCAATGACAGTTTTGTAATTTAAAAGAAGTTAAAAGCCTTTTGTTATATTGTAAATGAACTTTGAGTATAATAGTGAATCTCCCTTTTTTTTTCTTTTTTTTTTCTCCTTCTTTCAACTAAACTTATAGGCTTCCATAGTAAAACAGTTTGATACAAACATGTGAGGTTCATATTATGTCACACTTATGATCTTGGAATTTTGTGGCATGTATCTAGATGAACTATATGTGGTTACTATTCCATATTTGTATTATTCCTTCATGAGTATTTATATTTGATCTTTTGACTAATGATCTTTGTGCCTAATTACAAATACAATAAACTTAAACAGAAACTAAAGACATAAAAAAGTACATGCACAAGCATGAGCGTGAGCATGAGCGTGGGCGTGCGGCCACACTTTGTTATACTTTATTCACAACTATAGCAAGTGATATATCCACTATTGCACTGTAAATATTTCTCTTTATTATAACAACATCGTACCTTATTGGGAATGCCATTAATTGTCCAAAGATAATATCGAAAAAGGTTGTAATCATAATAATGGTGAGGAAAAAAAAAGCATATTTTTATTATAATATGCTTAAGGCATTTACGAGAAAAAAAAAACTATCATTAGTGAAAAAGATGTTAGGTGAGGAAAGGAACTTATGCTAAAAAATCCAAAAAAGCATCGTTAATAAAGTAGATTACAAAGATTAGTGCCTCAAAAGAACCAAGAGACAAGCTTTATCCTCATTGTCGAGATCATATCAAAGTTATAAAAAACAAATAAAAAAATCTTGTTTTAGAATAGTTTATTACTCATCCCAATGAAAACAAGAACATTATAGTCGAGATACAAATCAAATTATTCAAAGTGAGAGGGACCTATGTTTTTTCATTCTAATTGGTGCTTATATATCTTTGTTAGAAATAATGCATCTCTTCTTTTAATCTTTTTATTTTTTTATTTTTTTGACTTTTTTTCCATACGTTAGAACTTTTGATGTATGATCTCTTTTTTTAAAAAGAAATTATTCCAAAGTTGTGGTGGACCTATTAAATTAATACATGGTTTATTGGTGGTTTGGCAATGGGAGCTTACCTATATATATATATGGTGAGAGATGTAAACTATAATGACTATACACAACAGAACACACATCAAGAATATACAAGAGCATATTTTTTCAATTTGATCCATTCATGAA